GCACCACTCAAGGTCAACGGTAGAAAAGCTGCCAAAGGCCGCTTTCTTCCTTTTTCTTTATCGCTACGATTAAATTCGAGGAAGAAACAATCCAAAGATCAAATAGAGCTTTAAAATGTTAAAAGCAAACAGCCTAAAACTCCGAGCTCTAATTAGATTGTTTTCGTTCCTCAAACGAAAATTATTAAATATGTCACATCCAACATCATCATGTATGTCACTTTCAACGTCATACATCATGTATGACACGTTCAATATCCGTTTCCATGCATGTTACATTCAGCAACTTCACACACCAGTTATTGTTGTCTGTCATTATGTAACAACATCAACAATTTAACATAACTATTAATAACTGTAATTATGTATCAACATCAACATCAGTTATCATGCATGTTACATTCAACATAAGTTATGTCGATTTCAACATTTATTATCATGCAAGTATGTCACATTCATTCATGCAAGTATCAGTATGGTAGCAGACAAGATACAGAAAGTTACCGGACTTAACAAATGAGTCAAGCCTTACGGCCCCCCGGGGCCTCCTACACACATAATAGTGAACTGGGGTCGTCGTCGAGGCCCCTGGGGGCCAGTCCACGACTACATCTGTCCTCTGTTGGGCCAGCTGATGCCCTCAGATTTGTCATCCGATGCTCTCTGTTGGGCCAGCTGATGCCCTCAGATTTGTCATCCGATGCTCTCTGCTGGGCTAGCTGATGCACGATGCTGTTGCTTGCATCTCGCCGCTGGTAGTGGTGCAGAGACGGACGATCAGGATTGTGTCCAGGAGCACGTACTGTCTCTAGAAAGTTTAGAGGGCGAACTCACCCTCTCTTAAATCCTTAAACGCGTTAAACAGCCTCGGCCCCGCCACGGAAAGAGAACCTTCCAGCAGGTATTGAAATCAGAGCGCAGTATTCGTGCGTAGTGGAGCTATCCTAAAAAGTCTGCCTGACTGCTGCTTCAATCCCAAAAGTCTCGTTCTTGAAATTAGGTGCCAAGGCGCTTAGTAATCTCCATGTGTACAGAATGACATACCGGTTACCTCTCCCGTCTCCTCGGCAGTAATTACAGGTCACAGTTGTTCAGCCCCTTCTTCCCGCAGATCCCGGACGTGAAGGTTCGCTGGACCCCTTCTAATAGCCGCACTGCGCCAAGTGTGAATGGGGTCCAGCGCTGGCAGCAGTATTCAAGGAGTATGGGCTCTGAAGAGTGTGAACATCGGTTCAGCTTCTCTTTTGAACGTCCGCCAGATCCCCACCAGTACCATCTGTCGCCTACCTCTTGCGGTTATTGCAGTTACGTGATCACCAAAATTGACCTGAGTATTCATCAACACTCCTAGATCACGAACGAGTCGCTTCTATTCGGTTTCCGAGTTGTCAGGTGCTAGGTAGCGGTGCTTCATACCAGCTCTTCCGCTACCTCTGTATCTCAGGACCTCAAACTTGGTCCCGTTGAACTGCATGTTGTTCACTTGGGCCCAGTCATATATCGCAGAGAAATCTTCTTGCAGCCTCTCGCAGTCCCTCCTGTCCGTGATGGTCATTCGTATCCAGGGCCCATACTTTCGAAAAAAGTTAAGAGATCGTAAGTTCATCAGCCAATCATTGACTGCCTTTCAAGCAAAATCCACCAATCATAGACAAGAAAATAGTGCGTAAGTACTTACGTTCACTTAGCGAGTTTTGAAAGTATGGCCACTGGTGTCGTCCGCGAATGACGATGCAGTGGCGTGGTTCACTGCCACATCTATGTCGGCGATGTGGTAGAGGATAGGACCAACTACCTACCGCACGATGTGAGAACCTAATAAAAACAAAATCTCATCTGGTAAAAGGGGGCAACAACTTGTTGACAGAGGCACCCACCTGCTGACAGGAGCACCCACCTGTTGACAGGAGCACCCACCTTTTGGCAGAGGCACCCACCTGTTGACCGGGACACCCACCTGTTGACAGGGGCACCCACTTATTGACAGGAGCACCCACCTGTTGACAGGAGCACCCACTTATTGACAGGAGCACCCACCTGTTGACAGGAGCACCCACCTGTTGACAGGAGCACCCACCTGTTGACAGGAGCACCCACCTGTTGACAGAGACACCCACCTGTTGACAGGAGCACCCATTTGTTGACAGGGGCACCCACCTGTTGACAGGAGCACCCACCTGTTGACAGGAGCACCCACCTGTTGACAGAGGTACCCACTTATTGACAGGAGCACCCACCTGTTGACAGGAGCACCCTACCTGTTGACAGAGGCACCCACCTGTTGACAGGGGCGCTCTCGTGGTTCCCCAAGGCGGGGAAGACGAGTGTGTTGGGGAAGAAGACCTTGAGCTGGCGCACGGTCTCCCTCAGCACCTTCAGATTGGACTCCTTTGTTTGGTTCCATATGTCGTGGGGAGGCAGGTCACCCGTCCATATGATGTAGTCGATGTCCTGAGCGACAAATGGGCTTTTAATGTATATCATATGTTGTCCGCATGCACATAGGGATGTTATTTCACATGGTCTGTTGTTGGTAGCATGTGAATGTAGTAAGTGACTGTAGCAGGTGAATGTAGTAAGTGACTGTAGCAGGTGAATGGAGTGTATGGATGTCGCGCGTGGATGTACATAGCATGTGGATGTTGCGTGTGGATGCGGCGTGTGGATATGGCGCGTGGATGTGGCGTGTGGATGTGGCGTGTGGATGTGGCGTGTGGATGTGGCGCGTGGATGTAGCATGAGGATGTAGCATGTGGATGTTTAATGGTGTGATGTAAGAATGTTACGTCACAATCATCAACTTGTGTTCTCTCGCCCGCGTGTGCAAAAGAAAAGGTTACTACGCGAAGTAATTACCGTTACCATTTAGATAAGATTACCATTCATCTGTGAATGGTAATTATCACCATACTGACCGGCTGCTGGCTTACTACGCGAAGTAATCACCGTTACCATTTAGGTTATCACTTAACTATGATTATCATTCATCTGTGAATGGTAATGATCACCATACTGACCGGGTGCTGGCGAGCGATGTGCTGATACATGCTGACGATGGTGCGCTCTGGTGTATCACATTTGCGGTAGTCTCCCCACTTCCCCGCCTGCAGGGGGATGAGGGGGTGAGGTTAAATAAAAACATTTACCATACAGAACATTAATACATTAACATTATTGGGTAATATTGTCCAAATATTGGAAGCACCGATATGCTTTTTTACAATGTCGTACTGGGTTAGGATAACGCACTGAAAGACAATAGGTGCATTGATATTAAGGCAAAATCTCACTCATTTTTCCGCAAATTTGTTAGATTTACATACAAAAAAATATATTCGAGAACAAACCAACGAATACTGATTGCATCAGCTTGCTGCTTGCACAATAAATGTTTGAATGTAGAATAAATGGTTGAAAACTTAATGAAACGAGCTAGTCGTGGGTTCGAACCCAGAGAAGCTCTCTTCATTTCTTGGTGTTGCTAGCTGGAGGGCGGCGTTTGGTAGCCGTCAAAGGTGGTGCTCTCAATATTGCCTTGGAATGGTGTCCCTAACTAAGTACATGCTCTGTGCAGAGGACCCGTTGCCTACCCTAACAAAATTTAGAGTCGAGGGCGGCTCTGAATTAAGTACCCCCTAGGACTCGGGGAGCATAGTCCACCAGCATCCCTATTGTCCGCTTTTCGGTCTGCATTCCGGTCCCCGAATCAGACAGCTACCAGAGCCTGGTACTTATTCTGCCAACTTTTGCCCTACTCTCAGGAAACTATAAAGTCGGCAAGGAGGTTCTGACTGGTCGCTGATTACGATCAGGGCCTATACTTTCAAAAAAAGTTAAGAGATCGTAAGTTCATCCGTCAATCACTGACGGCTTTTGGAGCAAAATCCACCAATCATAGGCAAGGAAATCGAGCGTAAGTACTTACGTTCACTTAGCGAGTTTTGAAAGTATATGGCCCCAGGCGATTTAGCAGCAGAAACCGGCGTTGCTGGGGGGTTTAGAGTTTAGACTAATGAAGCGCGCGTGAGTTAAGGGTGCCTTCCTCCAATATCTTGTCAAGAAAAATCTTCCTACAAGTTGCCCCCTACCAGCACACCTACGGTGTACCACTATTTACCGATACCCCAGTAGGGTAAAGTGGGCCCATTGCTCCCTACCAGCACACCTACGGTGTACCACTCTATTTACCGATACCCCAGTAGGGAAAACCAACTACTTAAATTTAATTGCTACTTACTTAAACCTAGATGGAAACTTATAGGAATTAATCCTATAGTTTTGACAATGTAAGTAAGGAAATTTAGTCCTTTAGTCTAGGATCCCCCACCTTCGGGGGTTTGATGAGGCGGATGGGGGGCTTGGGGTATGGGGGGAAGAGAACCCTCCACTTATGGTAGGGGTCGGGGGGCACCCCACACACATCCCCGATGAGGAAGCCGCAGATGCCGTCAGGCTGCATCACCAGGTTCTGCAGCACGTACACGATCTCGTCCTGCCGGGGGGTTAATATGAGATTAGTTATGTGATTATTTGTTAATTATGTGATTATTATGTTAATTATGGGATTATTATGTTAATTAGGCGATTATTATGTTAATTATGCAATCATTATGTTAATTATGTGATTATTATGTTATTTATGTGATTATTATGTTAATTTTATTATGTTAGTTTATGCGATTATTATGTTAATTATGCGATTATTATGTTAATTATGCGATTATTATGTTAATTATGCGATTATTATGTTATATGTCATTATTTTATGCGATTATTATGTTATTTATGCGATTATTTTATCAACAATACCGTACGAAATAAGTAGACATGAATTGGATTATTTTGTTCTTGTTCCCGCATTTTTTGCCGTTTTTACAGGTATTTCCGTTGTTTATTTTATCAACGATAACGTCCGAAATAAGTAGACTGGAATGCGATTATTTGGTTATTCTTGTTGTTGTCGAATTTTTTACCGTTTTTATTTCCGTTGTTGGTTTTATCAACAATACGAAATAGGTAGATTTTATCAAGTAGCTTAGAACGATAAACACGAATAATAAATCAACAGAAGAGAAAGAAGCAAAATAATTTTTTACAAGATACATTCGAAAAAAAGTCACCAGAAGTTACCTATTACTTGAAGTTCAATCAGCATTATTAATGAGACCAATAATTAGGATTAATAAGACTGTTAGATCGATCTACAGGATTAATTAGATCAATTTTCTGGATCAAGTAGCAGGAATAAAATGATCACTTAATTAGATCAATTGTCAAGATCAAAATGACCAATTAGTAAGATTAAAATGATTAATTATTAATACTAATTAGTAAGATCAATTAGTAAGATTAAAATGATCAATTAGTAATATTAATTAGTAAGATCAATTAGTAAGATTAAAATGATTAATTAGTAATATTAATTAGAAAGATCAATTAGTAAGATTAAAATGATCAATTAGTAAAATTAAATTTATAAATTTGTAAGATTAAATCAATTAGCAAGATTAAAACGATCAATTAGAAAGATTAAAATGATCACTATGATCAATTAGTAAGATTAAAATGACCAATTAGTAAGATTAGTAATTAGCAAGATAAACAAGCATGTGACGTCACTGACCGACATGAGGTGCAGGATGCCGAAGCAGACCCTCGGGGTCTCCACATGGAAGTTGGTGCAGAGCTTTGACGCAGCCCTTATGATGTCTTCCTTGGTGTTGCCCTGGTCTATGTAGTGCTGCAGCAGACCTACACCTGCAACACGGGGTCTATGTAGTGCTGCAGCAGACACTGCCGCCCCCTTCCAGCGGCGGCCCCCCGCCGCCCCCCGCCTGCTCCAGCCAGTATTGCACTGCAGTGAAATTCAGCCTGCGGGGGTGAGGGGGAGGAGGGTGTAAAAAAAGGGAAGGGGGTGTAAGAAAATGGCAAAAATGGTGTAGAAAATAGGCAAGGGGGCGTAAAAAAAGGCAAGGAGGGTGTAAGCAATGGGGGGAGGGGCATCTAAAATGTACCCTGAGAAGGAAGGCTAAACGTATGTGTTTAAATGTCATTCAAAAAACACAAGAATGTAAAATGAACACAATCTGTGTAATTATTGATGTATAAAAAAAGAAGTTAAAATTATACATACCTAGTACTACAGTAGATACAAAATGCATCAACTCGGATAATGTAGAATAATATAACAAATATTTAGTTAGATTCAACTGCATGTCGAAAACGGCATTTAAAAAAATTATAACTTATTGACAATTGAACGAGGCATTGCAACAAAAAATTAAAATAAAAACTGATATATTATTGATTATTGAACAACACTAAGCACTGACTTGGCAAAGTCTTGCCGACGCAGATTTTGCAGCTGAGGTTCCGAGAGGTTAAAATCCAGCCAACTGCTGTTGTTGTTCTTGTTATTGACGTAGCTGCTGTTAATGTTGTTATAGTTGCTGCTGTTAAAGCTGCTGTTGTTGTTGTTGTTGAATCGAGGAGACCACCTGTGAGTCGCGAGGTCTTGCGCCAGCTGAGCGGCAGCATCTCTCAAGAAGGACCAGCTGAGACTGGACGCAACATTGAGGGAACGGATAAGTGCAAAAAAATATTGAGAAATTGAGAGAGGGGAAATGATGGTGGCGTGAAAGTGGAAGGAAATGGTTGGGAAAGTAGCGGGAAAGTAGGAGCGGGAAGTGGAAGGAAAAGGCCAGAGTGTTACAGCGGATAAAATCTTTCATTTATTATACGCTACATAAATTCCAATTATGTTAATAAACGAATTACACCTACACGTACTTATAGCTAAGAAACGTGTCAATGGTGAATTGCTAAGGCACCTGGTCAATGGTGAAGGGATTCTTGTTAATCATACTGGTCTATATGAAAGGCTCTACCCTAACTATAAAAATATGTGTACAAATGTACGAAACAAAATATGATATACAAATTTAAGAAAATATGTATATAAAGGTAAGAAAATATAGTGTACAAATATAAGAAAATATGGTATACAAATGTAACAAAATCTGCTACATAAATGTTATCAATATAAAAAGTTACAAAAGTTACCCCGAGGCTCGGAATCGCGCGATACGCTGCGCCTCCTCTGGCGTAGGCGGCGCCTGAATCGCTGCATCGAAATCTTCTTCTTCGTTCCCGATCCCATTCCCGAAGTGGTAATTTTCAAAGTAATTGTCAACAATTATGTCACCTTCATCCCAGCCGTCATCTAAATTTCCGATGCCATTCCCATTCCCGGCGTCATTCCCATTATCGGCGTCATTCCCATTCCCGGCGTCATTCCCATTCACGGCGTCATTCCCATTCCCAGCGTCATTCCCATTCACGGCGTCATTCCCATTCACGGCGTCATTCCCATTCACGGCGTCATTCCCATTCCAGACACCATTCCCATTCCTCCCAAACTTCTTTCTGGCTGGAATTTTGGGGTATGGCACGGCGTGATCTTCGATGGTATTACCATAGACCTCTTCGTCCTCGCCGATCTCGTGATCAAATGTATGTGATCTACGATCTACCACTCCCAGGTCATTCATATCGGATAATTTCAGATTTTTTACGTCGCTCACTCCTTGTCTAGTCCGAGGCTTGGTCCAATGGTTCGTAGAATTTCCGTTTGTTTGCTTCAGTTGGTAATTTTTGTTGTTGTTATCTTCAGCTTTATAGTTGTTATCAGAACTACCAGGAGCGGCATTGGTAGAGTTGGTAGACGGGGTGGTAGAGTTGGTGGTATGATTGGTGATAAACGGGATGGTAGATTTGATGGTAGAGTTGGTGAACGCGGCGGTAGAGGTAGACATGACGTAGTTGTTGCGTTGCGATAGGATGGCGCTGGGACTGAGCGGATGAGCTGGAGAATAAAAATACATTGCGGTTGTTACTTTCGCAACATAAATTAATTGTCATAATTAAAGGATTGAATAGCCTCTTAAACTTTCAAAACAAACGCTCCGATGCGCGGTATGATACGCGCAATCCTAAAAGCACAATCAATTCTCGACAGTCCCAAGCGTTCCCGACAGTCCCAAGCATTCCCGACAGTCCCAAGCGTTCCCGACAGTCCCAAGCGTTCCCGACAGTCCCAAGCGTTCCCGAC